CGTAGCCGGAATAATCTGGCACTCTCCATCCGGAGGGAAACACAAAAAAATATAAAGTGATGGAACATACATAACCTCAGAAAAACTTACGAAACATATATCGATTCGAATATTATTCAGACAGATTCTATTTTTCGTAGATTATGACACAATTCTTTTTCTTTAATAAAATCTTAATAAAATTATTTTTAGATATGTAACGTATATCTTTATAGGAATCGAATGTTGAAAGATAGTGATTGATTACTCAATTTAAATATTAAAAGCAATATTGTTTAGTGCTTTTAATATTCAAAATAAATAATTTCTAATATTATATTGGTCAGTAATTACATTTTTGTAACAGTGATGTAACATGTAACCAATGATAAGTGCAAAATGATATTTTCACTATTGAATGAACAAGGAAGAAATTAAATGAACAAAGTTTAATAGTTTATTTTAATTTATTTTATTACATTGCCATTGTCTTACTGTCATAATATTTATATTTACCCAAGCACAAAGTCGACTATTAGTTGATTATAAGTCGGCAGAAGAAATCTAAAGTCGACTTTAGTTAAAAATGTCAATATATGATATACTTAGCCGACTATAATCGACTATAATCGAATAATCGACAAATGTTCCAATTATAGTCGGTTACAAGTCAGTCATATCAATCGACTTAACATCGACTTTATGACAACTATAAGTCGATTTTTTACATGGTTATGACGATTAGGCTAACTTTTACAGAAAAGTCGACATTTAGTCGGCTAAACATCGACTTTACAAATCGACTTGAAGTCGATTAAAAAAAGTCGGCAAATAGTCATTTGTGCTGGGTGGGTAATAATTCTTTTTTATTAGATATCCTTAATTTATAAACTACAAATTTGTTTGTTATTTTTGTATTTAAATTATGACATTGCAAAATGTGACTATTACTTAAAATATTAAGAAACTTATTAACTAAAAACTTCTTATTATTGCAAATAGATTTTTTATTTTCTGAATATATATTCCAGTTTTTTAAATGTTTCAAATGTTTGATTATTAACAAAAAATAAAGTGTTATCTTTGTAACTTCTTAATCATACTAACCAAACAGCACAAAGTCGACTGTTAGTCGACTATAAGAAGAAATCTAAAATCAACTTTAAAGTTAGACCGAATGTCAACTTATAGCCAACTAATAGTCGACAAATGTCCCAACTATAGTCGGCTATAAGTCAGCCATATCAGTCTACTTAAGGTCGATTTTATGACAACTATAAATCAACACTTTTTATTTGATTATTTATATATAAAAAACTATTTTAAAGCATATTGCGCAGTAAAAACAATAAATATAAAATTTTTTTAATTTCTTTCTCAAGAAAGTGAGATATCAAATATCCGAATAAATAAATTGAATTATTAGAAATTTGACATTTGACATCATATTTGTGAGAATAGTTCTACGTTTCCATTGATTCAAATTGCCTCTTGTTTTGCCCTCCTTAGCGAATGGCGTCTCGAACATGAAGCAAGACGTGATTCTGTTTGAACTTGATTTGTCGCACTTCTAGTTTCAGTTTTTCAAAGTATAGCGTTACCTGAATGTACGCTATCTTGGAATCCAATTTGCTTATATCAACTGGTACAGAATCCATTATCATTTTAATATTCTCAGATCCAAACTTTTCACTATACTAACGTAATAATCGTTTCGATATCTCAGACAATGATGTCATTTTTGGTTCTTTATAGATGTATTCTTGATCATTCTCCTCTTCAAACTATGCCTAAATAATGAATGTGCCAATTTTGTTATTTTATGATTTTCTTGATGAAAAGTTTCGTTATTTCTTCATTATAAGTTTGATTATATATGCATTTATAAATTTTTGTGGATTACAAAAATATGCATTTTGAAGTAATAATGTATCTTATCATGCCAAAGAATGCTACTCTGTAAAGCCTCCCGAGCAATCTCTTTCCAGTTCGTGTCATTTCTATAATTTTATTATAGGCTTGCGTCAAATGCGAATAATAATTAGCTAAAGCTTCGTAATTTCTTTTCGTACATAGGAACTATTAAACAATGTAAGTATCAAAGCAATTCGAAATGCTCGGTTTTCTCCAATGTATCGGCACAAACTTCTTTGTTCGAATAAAAAACTCGTTATACTGAACATCTTGAACACCTAAAAACCTTCAGATTAATATTTCTTATATCTATTCTTGATTGAATTAAAATTGAATTAAAATTGTATTCTTTTATTAAAATCTTTCACTTTAACTGGAAAACCTGTACTTTTCATCATTTTATCAAAAGAGGCATAGCTGTTGATTAACGATAGCGATTCTTGAAATCGTGAATTGTTCAGACTAATTATACCTTTTAACTTACCTAATTATCCTTCAACATTTGAGAAAGTAAAATTATCACCTACAAACATGTAATAGATTTTAAAGCTTTCAATTCTGCTAAAATCAACAAAAAGACAAAAATGTATGACATAAATAAGACAAACTTAGAATTATGCTTTCAACAAGAGTACTATACCTGCAAATGCACTCTAGTCCTTTCCGACTGGTAAACTTAAAATTACTTTGCATGAGCAAACATATTAAAACACAGGACTCCTGTCGTATGGAACTTAGCTTACTATTACAGCAACGTAGTAATTCATAACATAAGCGACCGCAAAGCACAGCATTACCTACAAAGAAAAAATATATTCAAGCTCTATGTATATTTTACATATCTATCATATGCTGTTTATCAAAGATGATTAATTATGCATTTATTTTTTCCGTTATAAAAAACTAAATTTTCTAAAATCTTAAAAAAATATTCACCTTGAAAAAGCGCAATAGTATAATTATTTAAAAAAGCTCAAAGTCTAATAAAAACGTGACAAAGTAACGTCTCGGACTTACCGACTTAAAGAAACGATAAATAAATATTGAAAACTTTTGCATAACAACAATCGCCTTCATTCGCAAAAAGAATATCCTGAAAAAAATAAACCATATTAATGTTTCATGAATATCAATTTGAAATCAATATGATTAAAAATATCATATGTATCTTAAATACTTATATTTAAATTTATGCATCTTTAAAATCTTTAAACATGCTTGTATTGACTTTTTGATGTCTTTAAATATTTATTTATTGTATTATCTAAAAATGGTCAATCAGTCTTTCAATCTTTGACAATCATACTTTTGCGACATATTAATAATTGCTTTAAACGGAGCAATCACTAATAAATGTGTTCTAGGAAATCATTAACACATTTACACATAAAATCAAGAAAACAGAAAATTCGCTTAATAATTATTTTAAAATGAATACAGAAATGATCCGAGCAATCCAACGCGATTAGGCTAACTTTTGTTGCCATATTTGCTCTAATGGAGCTTGATATACTTTGCAATTATTATTTTCAACTAGATTTTCTCTAGTAGCTGTATTGTGAGATTGTAATGTGCTAGTAAAACTTTCAGTGGTAAAGTCTGAAAGTGACATTCTGGCGGGTAAAGTTATAGCTTTAATAGTATGGGGCTTCCCAACATTACTCGCGACATTACTTCGCGGCTATTTGTCTTTTACCAATATACTTGAAAAGATACAAGCTCATTCTAAAAATAGAAAAAAAGTTATTCACACAAAGTCTAAGAGTTATACCAGATGCATATTAATATAATTTCATCTAATAACAATGCCATTCATATAATAAGAAAATTTTATTATATTTTCGAAAAAATAAGCAGTTTTATTTTTTTCTTGTTACTTACTCAATCACTGTGAAAAAGCTCAGTAGTTCTGTATCATTGCATTGCTGCTACCAAGCAATCACTTGATAATCATCCAAACATTTAATAATAATAGGAAATAAAGTAATATGTCTTTCACTTCCGAGGGATTGCAACTTATTATACCTAGGCGACCTGTGTCACATTCAACGTACGTGAGCTCTTTTTCTCAGCTGTTCCATTTTCTGTCAACTCCTGAATAATGGTCTCTTGGGAAATATTGGATTGAGACGCATCAGACATTGTTGATGTATTAGATTCAATACTGGTGCAAGAATATCTGTTAATTAATCCTTGGCCCGCAATGGCGGCGAAATAAATAGAATGTAGATGTATAGATGTTCTTATAGGCGATTGTGTATCTAGATGAAGAGTCTGTATAATACTAAAATTTTTCTTTGACTTTCAATTTATTAATAATTATTTATTTAATTGTCTTATTAGTACATTACTGTACCTGTGAATAAATTTGGGTGTATCAGCAGTCATAGAACTAGCACTATCCTTTGTGGTCAAGAATGAGCTGCTAATTAATACTCTGTTAGCATCGTTCTGTTTAATTTCTATTTTGATCTTGTTCTCTTTTGATTATAAAACGCTATTTTCTATATAATTTAATGCTTATACTTTTTGATACGTATGATATATCAACATTTGACTGAGTAAATTCCGAGAATAGTTTATAATCCTGAGAATGATTATAATGTTTTGAAGATTTATGTTTGGCAATTACATCCAAAAAACTTTGTAGAAAATATAATTTCTCCTTATCTTTTTCTTTTGTAACGCGGTCACCTCGCTCGACGCTCGGATCGGCTCGTCGGTGTCCGGGTTCGAGAGAAGGGGAGACTCAAGCTTACGAGACACAGATTGAAGAAAAAGATAGTTTATTTAGAGAAAGATAGATACAGAGTGCAGGAAGATGTCGCAGTGTAATTGGCAGCAGGAGGCGAGACGCATAGCGGTTGGCGCAAAGCAGCGAGAAGCGCAAGACAGGTGTGGCGTGCGGTCGGCAACGATTTATTTACAACGGTTTATTTACGTGGCGCGGTTACAACTAAAGATCTTAAAGCTACCGGCTTATAACTAGCGGACTTAATCTCTATCGCATGCACTTACAAGCTAATGTCAAGTTAGACGGCTAGGTATTGCGGGCAAGGCCGAGTGTCACGTCGAGCCCTGCCTTAGCAACGGAAATTCAGTGGAGCTGAGCGAAACCTCAGCCCGAGCAGTGGTGACAGGAGTCGGCGAAACCCGACAGAACTGAGCGAAACCTCAGCCCGAAAGTAGAGAAAACCAGTGAAACCCGGCAAAGCCAAGCAAAACCTTGGCCCCGAGAGGTAGTAGATACTGGTCAAGTCAGTGTCAGGAGTCGCAGGATGGGATCTGATCCCGATGTCTCGGCCGGTCGGGCTTATATACCCGGCGGGCGTTTCCCACTGTGCGCCGTCGGTCCGGTGGTGGGGAGTCAATATCGCGTGGGACACCATGAGAGATAGCGTGAGCGAGACGGCGCGTGCGGTGTACAGGCAAGCGAGTGAAATAGCGCGAGCGGTGTGCGTGCAAGCAGGATAGGCAGCGCAGGACAAATAAATCAGGTGTATATCTCTATATGTATATATATTTCTTTTACAAATAACGGCCCTGCCGTAACGGTTTCTTTTATAAAAATGCCGAAAATAAGCTCAATGATCGCTAGATGCTATGATCGATGTCATGTGATATTAATACGTCATTAGAGAAAAAATGGCGGACCAAAACATTTTAAAACGTTTCAAAATCGAAATATTGAAAAGATATGTGATGGCCAGACTCTTACTAAAAGTCTCTATGTTCATAGTGCTACCAGCGCTGACAATCAATTTTGGAACACAGCCTATAGGCCGTATCAGACGGATTGCTCGATTACGGTTGCCGGATGACGATTTTAATATTATCAATCACATTGACCGTAACCAGGACTCGCTATATTATGATTGGCTGAAATAGAATCGTCAATTAGAAATCGTAACCGGTACATAGACAAATAATATAGACCTCGCATACCATATACTCTTCTACCACCAGTTGGGTTTGGCAGAACAGTGAGAGAGGCAAAATATCGGGAAATATCTGTTCTTTATTGTGTGCGCATTATTGACAAATAAAAATGGCCTATTCGAGAATCATCTGATATCCGTAGCAATATACTTATATTTAAAATGAAATAATATATTTTTAAGTTTATTGAATACGAAAAAGAAAGTTTTAATAGAGTAAAGCTATAAA